TTGCCAGTTATATACACTAGATGACTTCCTGGCATCCTTCATGCTGTTGGTCCCTCATCTTCTCGGGCTATCTGCATCTCTTCTCCTTGGGATGAAGACCACACCACTCACTTCTTGGGATGATCCCTCTCTCCTCTGGTACTCCAGTATCTTCCCTTCTCTCCTTCATTTATCCTCTCCTCCTGTGTAGACTAACAACCTTCAGAAACACTTCTTTGATCCAACACTCGCCAGGCCCTATTTTTCAAGACAAAATTTCTCAGAGGATGTGTATACTCTCTCCAGTTCACAGTAATGTGTTTTCTGAAGGGCCAACTCCACTGAAATTACTCCACACCCCCGAAGACAACCATGCTGCCGGATGCAATCTCACTCCTCACTCAGTACATACTTGGTTTTGAAGGAGATTTAGTTCCCTTGAAATCTCTTCTCTTTTAACTCCCCAACACAGACAGGGCATGACAACTGTTGTTTACCAAGGTCTTCTCTTGGTCCAGACAATTTTTTTCTTTTATTAAAAATAGATGTTTTTATTCACAATATACTTTGATTATGGTATCCTCCTCTCCCCCCTACTCTTCCCAATTCCTCCCACTTATCATCCCATCTGGGAACACCCTATTTCCGTCTCTATTTGTAAACAAACAGGCATCTAAGGAATGATAATAAAATAAATAAATAAATAAATAGACAAATCAGAAAACAATGAAACAACCAAATAAATAAAAAAAAAAAGCCAAAGGAAAAGCAACAAGAAGCATATGTGGGTGCAAAGACACACACATTCACATACTCAGGAATCCCATGAAACCCCCAAACTTGAAACCATAATAAATATGCAAAGAACCTGTAAGGTAGGAAGGAAAAAAAAAGCTCCCCAATGTAGCATTATAAAACAAAATACCTCAAAAGGTGTTGTTCAATTCATTTTGTTTTGGCCATCTGGAGGTGGGCATGGGACGTACCCTTGAGTGGTTTGTTTCCAAAGTGAGACTCTCTTGGAGGAAACTTATTTTCATTTGCAAGTGGTCATCAATTAGAGACTTGCTTCTGGGTTAGGAATGGAGGCAGGTGTCCACTTCTCCTTGAAACTCTAGAACCCCACCTGGTGCAGACCCATGCAGGCCCTGTGCATGCTGCCACAGTCTCTGGAGTTCATATGCGCTCCCTTCCTGTGGCGTCCAAAAGGCCTTGATTCTTGGGTATCCTCTATCCTTTCTGGATCTTATACTCTTTTTACCTCCTCTTCTGCAGGGTTTCCTGAGCCTGGAGGGGAGGGATTAATTGGAGAAATCCTTTTTAGGGTCCTGTGTCCCAAGGTCTCTCACTTTCTGCATATTTTCTGACTGTGGATCTCTGTATTTGTTCCCATCTGCAGCAGGAGGAGGCTTTTCTGAGCCAGGCACTGAACTAGGTACAGCAGAATGTCATTAGGAGTCATTTTATTGCCAAGTCCTTTTAGTAGGACAGTGTTTGGGTTTCCCCTAGTCCTTCACCTATTAGGTCTCAGGTTCTTGCTTATCCAAGTACCACTGAGTATCTTATGCCTTAACTCAAATGAGATACTGGTTGGTTGCTCCCTTAAGCTCTGTACCACTGTTGTACTTGCGTATCTTGCAGGCCAGTTACTCTTGTAGGTTCAAGGGTTTGTAGCTGGTTTGGTATTTACCTTTCTCCTCCAGTGGCACACAGAGGACTTTCTAGGACCATGAGCACTAGTCTATAGAGGAGAAGGCTCTTTGTATGCACCAGCTCAACGTCTCCATGTTCAGTGAGTTGTGCCAGTGTTGTCTTCAGCAACAGGGCCTACGGTCAGCTTGTAGAGAGACACCAGAAGTCTTGGCAATAGCCTGAAATGTTTGTAGGTACCCATGGGACCCTTTGGGCCAACAACTGGATTAGGCGTAACTCATTTCTGTCATTGGAAACTGCATTTGGTGACAAGCGATATCCAAACTCTGCTTTTATGTTGTCTCAATGAAACAGGAGAGAAGACAGAAGTTCAGAGAAATGGAGTCACTTGCCAAGGTTACAGAGCTAGCTGATACTAACTGCAAACTAACACCCGAATTCTATTCAGATTTACCACTTCAGTCAACTTTATTTCCTGAGGGGTAAAGAGTATTCTCTGGTTATCCGTGGAAGGGTCATAGAGTGATAAGTGGTTCCAGCTTTTTTGGTAGGCTGGAATTGATGGTGGGTTTTGAGAAATTAAGCAGACAGGACAGAAGGGGTTTGGATGACAGGCAGACACATTGGGAAGGAACAGGAAATGAATCGAGAGAAGCCATTCCCAACAGAGGGGTATCTGTGCCCCATCTCTCTGCTGTTTCTTCTCTCCCCACCTTTGAGAGTCCAGGTGCACCTGTGGAATATGCAACAGCCTTGTTCTCCATCTCACTGGATGCCAAGGGCTCTGAGCCATGTGATTTAGTCTCAGCAAGCCCCCATGGAACCCTCCTTTGACAGGCAGCCACATGGCTGTGAGGTGGAGGCAGGTGAGTCTTGCCTCGTGTCTTGAATACTAAAACATGCCCCTGTAGGGGCATCTGGCTGTACTGAGTTCCAGGGCCCCAGGCTGTTCCCTGCTTCACTTGGATGTAAATAAGTCAGGTGTCGGGGGATGGGAACTGCTTCTAAGAGTCCAGAAACACAAATAGACTTTGCCTTGTGTGGTGAGTGGAAAGTATGAAGGCCCAGAGGGGTTTTAGAGCACACAGTCCCTACAATAATACCCCTCACTCCTGCTCAGAAATCCCACTAGCCCCCAGTGAAATTAATCATATAAACAGCATGAAGGACTAAATAATGACCCACAAGTATACCCACGTCCTCATTGCTGGAACCCACGAATACTGCTTTGCAGAAGGAAAATTATTGTGTGGCTGTGATGATGTTAAGGAGAGGGAGATGGAGAGGGGACCCTAAAGGTTGGACGCCATCACAGCAGTGCACAGAAGACGGATGCCAAGAAAATGAGACGCGAGGATGAAACATAAGCTCAGTGTAATTCCAGGGCAAGGCACAAGTCGGGGCATACAGGCAGTCCCCAGGACGCTGCAAGACAAAGGCTTCTTCCAGAAGGCACCAATCCTGATGGAGTTTAACATTTAACCCCACATTAAAAAAAAAAAAAAGTTGAGACAGTATCTTCCCAGCCAGCTCAGAATCATAAATCATAATCCCCCTGCATCTGCCTCCTAAGCACTGAAATTACAGGTGTGACCCATGAAATAGATATCTGATTTCTGGAGTCTTGAACCATTTGAGAATAAGTCCATGTTGTTTGAAGTCATTAAGTCTTTGTTAGAACAGTTAATGCAGAGAGACAAGCCTGGACCTGGGGACAGTGTCCTTACTTCTTTCCTTGGGGATAACTCCGAAATGAAGTATCTCTCAGAGAGAGGAGGCTACCTGATGATCCCATTTGCTCCAAGGACATTCACTAAGCATCTGCTCTGCACCTAATGCAGAACACATCGCTGGCACTAAGAAAGCAGTATCTCTGTATTCGTGAAACTGGTTGTGGAGGGGGTGGGAGCAGGGGTACATTGTGCAATCACTTGATAAAATAGCAAAGTGCTTTTAAATATATAGCTCAAGATAAACAATTAAAAAAGAAAGAAAACAATAGGGACATTAAGGGGCCAGCAAGGTGCTCAGGAGGTAAAGGTGTTTATTTGCAAGCCCAGTGACGTGGGTCTGCATCCTGAAGCCTACGTGAATATTACAGAATGGTTTCCACAGTTTTCCTCCGATGTGCACCACAGTCACCACAGTCACACAGTATCACATGCACCACACATGCATTACACAACTGTACATACAATAATAAAATAAAATCTACAGCAAAGTGCTTTCAGATATTAGAGTCCTTGATATGGCAACATTTGAGTTAAGATCTAAATGATGAGCATGCAGCTGTGTGGAGATGGGGCAGGAGCAGGGGTCAGTATTCTGAGGGCAAGCACTTGGATAGAAGGAACAAACCCATGGAGAGAATTTGTTATGTTCAAAGAATATGCAAGAAGGGTGGATGATGCACAGAGACGGGAAGAACTGGGGAGAAACAGCGATCCGCAGGGCTAGACCTCCCCCAGACTCTGAAGGAATAAAAGTTAAGGACAGAGATGGGGCAGAGACAGGCAACGCGGAGAGATATGGTGTTCGAACATATCTCTGCGTTTGTAGGACTATGAGGTGTGAGCGGGAAGTGGAGAGAGGACATGTCGACCATCAGGAGAGACCAATTCTGAGTCTTCTGCTCTCAGAAAATGGTGGGCTACCCTCAGCAATGCGGGGAAGTGGGCAGAGTCACGCAGGAAGAACCGGGCGAGTCACATAAAAGGAAGCTGCTGGAGTCACATAGGAAGTATGTGGAGTCACGTGGAGGGGAAATAAGTAAAATCATGAGGATCACCAAGTTTATAGTAGTAAGAGATAAGACCACAGGGGAGCATTCTGTCATGAGTGGGACACTTACTGGCATGTAGACATTTAGAGACAAGCTTAGAATTGGATTTCTATGGTACCAAATTGCAACCTCAGCCTATCATTGCACTTCTTTTGCAAGACTTAGCCAAACTCCTGAGGGCCCAACTGGGGATGGGCATGAATAGTGATGAACCAGATGAGCTCTGTAAGAGATACAACTCTCAACAGTCCTCAAACTGTGTCATTCTGATACCCATCTCTTTGTGCCTCTGTTGCTTCCTCTACAAGTGGGGACAGTGAAAATGGCCTCCAGTGATGGAGTTGAAGGGTGGGGGGTGGCTAGCCCTTACTCAGTATTGGCATCATGGTTCCCCTTGCAGCCCTGCCTGAATTCCAGGCCAAGTGACTCTTTCAGTTAGCACCAATTAGGAAAAAGGAAATGAACAAAGAAGATCAGAGACAATGGTGGGCTTTATTGCCTAGCCCCACCCACCCACCCACCCTACCACGTGATATATGGCATTGTCAGAGTAGATTCATTCCGAAACTGATGTCAGGACCTAGAATTAGGCTCCTTCTTTCCTGGCTTCTGAGAAGCTAAAGTTCTTCTTTGACTTCCCGTTTCCTCACCGGTTGAGACAATTGCTCTGGCTGCGCTGCCTTCTCAGCCCTCTTGGCTGTTTCCTTCCTTCCTGCTGGTTCTGCCACCTTGCTTATGCTCCCCAGCACAGGCGACTCTTTCTCTTGCCTGTCTTTGGTTGCTTCCTCCAGCTTGAGCAACTGCTGCTCGGGCAACTTTTCTGTGAGCTGGGTCTCTGGCTCAGCTATCACTTCCTCCTCTACTGCTTCATTTTGCTCAATGGATAACAGCTGTTAGAGAGGGAAGGGGAGGAGAATAAAGAAATATGTGTGATCATTGTGGTGACAACAGGTCAGGCTGTTCTGCATGAGCCCAGGAAGAGCCCTATTTAGCTTAAGTGTCCTCAGAGACACAGTGAGAGGACAGATTGCCCAACCATGGTTGTGACCCCTTTGTCAGGTGCAGATGTCCAGCCCCTAACTCCAGGACAAAGCAGGTGACTTTGGCTTAGTTAATGGGATCTGTCTCTAGCATACATGTTGCAACTACTGAAAAATGGATCTTATCTTTCTAAACCAGGAGGAGGTAAGTTTGGAGCCATGGGGTAATAGTTACCATCGATGGGGAAGTGACTGCTTGAGCAAGCAGTCAAGATGGAAGAAAACATGTGGGAAGACAGAACACAGGTATGAGCTTCTGAGTTTGTCTGTGCAAAATGTTCTACCAGGTAAATGGAATAAACACCCCTTGCTGCTGAAGCAGGTGAGGAGTGTCTGATATTAGCAACAAGAAGCATCCTAACTGATTCCGATGGCACCTTCTGGCACATTGTGGCATGGTTAGGAGAGAGGGGAAACTGTGGTCACATCCATCAGGACAGCAATGCCGGAGACCAGACTCCCATCATCTCAGGAAGTGACGAGCAGGCTGTTTGGAAGGCTGGATGTTACTTCGGAGTCTGTTTTTTAATGACTGCCATTTCCACTTCCTTGTGACAAGTTTCCTTAAGATATCAGTGAGCTCACTAAAATGGTTGTCCATGCAGCCTTAAACCCATCTCCAGAGAGAATGAAATAACTGATAGAATCAAGGCTTAAGTTTTATATGGGCCTTGGCTTCCTGGTAATTGTGTGTGGGAGGGAAGACCCAGCCTGCAGTCCTGCCCCTTACCTCATCCTCTTCCTCAATCCTAATCCTGACATGGTGTTCCAGGAAGTCACAGAAGCCCTTCATACTGTGTTCTCCTTTATACGGGACAGCCTAGGTAGACAACAAAGCAGGATTAAGATGGGGGCCTCTTCCTGTAAATTGCTCGTAAAGTGTTACAACAACAACAACTCGGGATCAAATTCCTAATAATCTGGACCAACCCCCCTCCCCAAAATTCCTTAGCCTCTGTGAGCCTCCTTTACCACGGCTCTAAGATAAAAACTCTTTGGTCAGAGGATGTGAGGAATGTACCAAATATGAGCTATGAAGCCACACTTTATACGTCTATCCCTTGGCTGTTTTCTTACCGGTATGGTCTGATTACTGAATTTATGACTCAGTTTCCTCACATGGTGTTCATTTCAGGAGCTTCCCCACGGGGTTGTTGGATTAAATGAGCTAATACAGGCAATGTGCTTAAAGTAGTGTTTGGTTTATGCTAAGTACCACGTGCATTTGCTCTTACGAGTAGCTAGTATTAGTAGCCTTCTAACAATAACAAGAAGAGTAGCTGTTATCTTATACAGCACCTACTGCATGGTCAGCATTCATTCATAATAGTTTCCTTTGTGGATAAGGAATCCTTAATTTAAGAGAATTAAAAAAGTACTCCCTACCCACTGGTTGTTTAATAAACTTTCTACTGTATAACTTAAGGTTGGTGACAGCCTCATCCTATCAATCTAAACTCAATTTATACAGTTTCTCTACATGTAATGTCTGCACCGGGATGGCATTGCATAGTGCTCTGGCCATTCTGCCCACCTCATTGCTCATGTTACACATCCTACTTATAGAGCTCATGTCCCCTCCTTTAAGTCTTCACCATTCTCCAGGGTTCTAAGTCTGTATGAAGACTTTAGCCATATCTTCCCTCCAGACTCTGCTTCCCCATTGCATACATAGGTAGACCCATGTCGCCATGACTTTGCCTCCCCCTCATCCACTCTTGTCCAGAGCAAGGACTTTGGCTCATGCCCCTTTGATTGATACCCTTCCCCATCAATAGAGAGTATGTTCCACCAGTCCTGGTGATGGTTGCCCAAGAACCAGAATTCCCAGGTGCAAAAAGGATTGTTGGTGTCTGGAACACATGCTTTAATCTGGTAGCATTCCACCCCAATATTCCTATTGAGATGTTCTACTTTATTCTCTGTAGCTTGTGGAGAGCTCCACCTCAATACTAGAGAAAACTTATCACTGTCCAATGAAAACATCCATATCCATTTGACACAGTGATCAGTCAACAATGAGCAATGGACTCAAGTTGTGTGCAACTATAAAGTCTTAGAACTTGAGAAGAAGAAGCTGGGAAATACTCTAAACTTGAACATGGGGGAGCATACTAGGGCCTGGAGCTGAGAATATTTAGTAGAAGGCCGAGCTGGAGAGAAACTGAGTTCCTGGTGGTGACAACATTTTCAATTGTGTGTTCCCAAGAGCCCCTCACCTCTTGTGAGTCGGTGGGGAAAAGCCTGAAGAATGGATACTGATCTGGGTCCTCCAGCTCAATGTCATTTGCTGTTATGTCAATCTTGGCAATGATGACAGTGGAGTGGTTCTGATATTTTATACCCAACTCTTCTAGCAGCGGTAACAGTGCCTTGCACTTCTCAGACCAGGGTGCATCTGGAAAAAAAGGGTCTTGCTCAGCTCCCTCTGTCCAGGGCTCTGAAAGCTGATGCCACACATCACCATGGTGTTCTTCTCACCACGCATCTACTCAAGTGAGCCACACACCCTTTCACTCTCACCAGAGGTTATTCGTATATTTGTATAGCTCAGTGTATGATCACTGTTAAGTAAACCAGAATAAAAATTAGCCTAGTTTTATTCCTTCTGGACACTAACATTTTCCATGTGTTAATATGTTCTTTAAAAACAACAACAACAAAAATAACCTTCCTTTTTAACATAGTGTTCCACTCTAGTTGAAGAGAAAAACAGGGAAAATATTTATGCTGCTGTTACGTCTGAAAGAGAATGTGTGTGTTTATAGCACAGAAGTTAAGCACTTGACCAAGGTCATCCAGAAAATTAAGCAAAAGAAATAGGACTTGAAGACAGGTCACATGGGCTTGATTAGACTACAAATATGGCATAGCATGTTATATAATGTACATTAATACATAACAATATAATATGCCTTTCAGTCCCTGTGAAGAGAACATGCCCAAAAAACTGAACAGGTATGTGCTAAAATTATGACAACTACCCTTCCTTGTGGAAAGTTCCTTGAGCCTTGAGGGGTCAGACAGCTGGCCCCTTGGAAAGAGACCAGAGTACAGATACCAAACAGGGAAAGTCAGACCTTACTAGTTTGCCCTCGTCTGAAGCTCAGAACTCAAGAGTTTTCCTCTGTGGGAGGAATGGCCTCAGATGCCCTGATATTACACTTTTGCAAGCCCATCTATCCATTTACCAACCAAGTGTCCCTGTGATCAAATCTCCTGCCTACAGCACCAAGAGACCCCCTGGAGCCTGATGGGCCCTGGGTAGGAACGTGGGGGATAATGGCTGAAACCACAGGGTGCAATCCCACAGCCCTACTTCCAAGAAAATGAAGCTAGTCTTGTCTTTTATCAGAAGCAAATGAGTGTTCTCAGAACTCTATGTGTCGGGTAAGTACAGAAAGGCTGCCCCAGCTCCGCGATGAAAGGGAGCAGATTGCTGTGACTCAGCTGGGCAGCTCTCAGAAGCACCGTCAGCCCACAAGTGTCTGCTTCACAGAGGCTGAGATAGGAGGCAGAATGGAATCAGCACAGAGACGACTTCACTAGGAGTCTTAGTACTTACCGTGTGACCTTGACCTGTGTCATGGAGGAAGCGAGCAACCGTGCCTTTCTCGCCTTTCTCACAGCCTTGCTGTCACAGACCATGTGACACACTTAAGCCCAGCTCAGTATACAAGCTCACTAAAAGTACCTTTGCCTGTCTGAAGTAGCTTTGGAGTCGCCTTCTCCTCTGTCTCATAGAGAGAAGGCTCTAGCTTGGGGGGCTGGCATATAAACTAGGGATGACTGGAAAGGGCCATAGTCCTTGGACAAGCAGTGGGGATAACTGTAATGGCAGAAACAGCAGTCACCGTTTGTGACGTGCCTGCAACATGCCATGCACTATTCAAAGTCCTTGAGATGAAACATTTGTGCCCATACCTCACAGGGGCCATCGGATGAATCATATAAGACCCAAAGCAGGGGATTCTGGGTGATAGAATGAATGGAGGTGCTAGAGCCAAAATGAAAATGCTCAAATGTCATTTCTAGAACTTAGTGGGTGATACCGGGAATGTTTCTTCCCTGAGATTCTGTTGAGTTATCCGTACATGGGAGGCACAATAGGAGCTGCTTTCAGGAGAATATGGTGGGGAATTTAATGCCATAGGTATACAATGACTCAAGCCTGAGTCCTAACATATTGGTGCATCCAACAAAACCATGTTAGCTGACAGTGTTACTGTTACAAACTGTCATAGGAATGGATTCTGTGGAAAGCATTCATACATACTGAGAATTAATTCAGGGCACCAAGTTGCCTGTTTCTTGATCTAATCTTTTTAAGAGAAGGGAGATCATTCTTAGCATGGTTTAAAAGTTTATGGGTTTGGAGACTGCACCACCCAAGAATTCAGAAGCAATTACTGGAAAAGTAATAGTGGGGCCCTTAGCCTCTCATTGTCTCCATGGAGATACTTACAGAACATCACAAACACATCCTTCTCCTTATCCAAGACAACCACATTGAAGTTCTTCCCCACAAGCCTCTTCACTGGCCCCTGGTCCCAATATTTTGGAATATCTTCACTGGATTTGTGTTTCTAGGAAGCAAATTCAAGAGGTCTCACACTCTCCACTCCAGAAAAGAACAAGCAAATGGGGTTTCCCCGCCCTCACTTACAAACAACGAAAGGGAAAGGCTTTGTCGTGAAAGGTTTGAAATGCAGATAGTCACAAACTCAGTGTCAACTCTGCATTGTCTAGAGCAGACAGGGGTCAGATAGCTGGGGGTCAGGGAGGTCCTCTTCTCCGACATTACTATAGAAGTAGTAGAGAACTTAAGCGGGCGCAATAGGACCTGGGTTTTAGCCTGGGGGTATAGATACCTTCTATACCTTCAGGGTGTAAAAGAAGCAGAACTTAGAGAGAACGAGGAAGTGACCAGGGTGACACACTGTAGAACCCAAGTTCATGGAGAAGGCACCAGAGAGACAGAACCAGCCTCCAAAGATTGAAGGCCATGGGGCAGGTGAGGCTCTTTATTTATTTTTTATTTTATATAACTTAAAGATTATTTTATTTAACCACGTATAAACATCATTATTTCAACATGTAGTTAGTGGCAGATGGTAAAATAAAATGTTTTGCAGTTTTCTTTATTTTAATTTTTTCTCCCCCTTTTTTATTGTTTTTTTTTATTGAGCTATATATTTTTCTTCACTCCCTCCCTTCCTTCCTGCTCCCCTTCTACCCTCTCCCATGATCCCCACACTCTCAATTTACTCAGGAGATCTTGTCTTTTTCTGCTTCCTATTTAGATCCATGTATGTCTTCCTTAGGGTCCTCTTTATTGTCTAGGTTCTCTGGGATTGTGAATTGTAGGCTGGTGTTCTTTGCTTTATGTCTAAAAACACTTATGAGTGAGTATATATGATATTTGTCTTTCTGGGTCTGGGTTACTTCACTCAATATAATGTTTTCTAGATCCATTCATTTGTCCGCAAATTTCAAGAAGTCATTGTTTTTATTCCCCCATAGGGTAGTACTTTATTGTGTAAATGTACCACATTTTCCTTATCCATTCTTTGGTCAAGGAGCATTTATGTTGTTTCCGGGTTTTGGCTATGACAAATAATGTTGCTATAAACATAGCTGAGCACATGTCCTTGTGATATGATTGGGCATCCTTTGGGTATATACCCAAAAGTGATATTGCTGGGTCCTGAGGAGAGTTTTTTCCTGATTTTCTCAGAAATTGCCATACTGATTTCCAAAGTGGCTGTACCAGTATGCACTCCCACCATCAATGGAGGAGTGTTCCCTTTGGAGGGTGAGGCTCTTTAGCAGTGTGAAGTGAACTAAGAAGAGAAGCTTGAAATGAGACCTTTGGAGGAACTTGCAGCTGTAGATAAGGAGCACTTGAGCAGAGGGCTGGGATGTGGGGTACATACCAATCCATGGAGAACAGAGCTAAGCATGCTGGACGTTAATGCCTAGGAACGATGGCAAAGCAGCATGGAGGTACCCTGCACTGAGGAGCTCGCATCCTCAGAGGGAGCAAGGGAGATGGTCAGAGGATGACAGCAAGGGATAAAAGGAAGTGGTGTGATGCCAAAAGCATGAAAGACAAAAAACGTTAGGTTTTAGATGCTAGAAAGAGAAATGGTTTGGAAGTACCAGGAAGGACACCAGCTTTTCCCTTTGACTTCACAATCATGTGAGTCAGAAAAGACCTTCCTTCCCACTGAGAAGGCTGTAGAGGAGGAGGGGTCCCTATGGAAATAGATGGAAGGGAAGGGAAGCAGCCAGAGCTAAGGTCTCTGTAGATGCGGAGCTACCCGAGGACTCTCTGTGCACTCCTGTCATTATCCGAAACACGTCTGAAGGATTCTCCACTTACTCTCAAAGATATTTCGGTTTCTACAATAAACACTGTTATGCATCAGGAGGGTTTGCAGGTAACTTCCTGAACCGACCCTTTCAGCAGCAAGGACGGAGTCTCTCCATCCACCACAACCTAAAGGTCTCTGAAGCTCTTGCGGCTAAATCCTGGCTGCTGTTTGTTCCATCTCCTTCCCCTCTAACCCTAGGTCAAGTGGGCTTTCTGAGAAGAGGCTGTAGGAAGGACTAAAGCCTCCTTCAGAAGACAAGTCAGTTTCTAGAACATCTCAACTTCTAGTCTTCTTCTATCCTGAACTTCTATTTTTTTTTTTATGACTAAAGAACTGGTAATGAGTTTCCAGTCTCAGAAAAAGCCACAAGCTTCACTGATTGAAGACGAAAAATGGAGAGACTGGGTCACACCAAGCCTTAGGATGGTCTTTGTTCTGTTTCTTCAGAACGAGATGAAACCAGCAAAATTCTAAAGAGGTCCTGAGGTTCTAAACACGACTTACCTGAGAGCAAACTTACCTTGGCAGTTTTGCTGAGGAAGCTCTGGCAGAATTTCTTGAGGCTTTCAAAGGTTATGTCATCTGTGGGCATTTTGTACCTTGTATCAGAGCTTATGTTCAGGATTTGAACAGATGGGACATTGACTGTTGCGATCCGGAAGTATTCGAAGACACGTTTGTTTTTGGGTTCATCCGCATTCACAAGGATAAAAAGAATCTGCCAAATCAAGCAAAACCTCTTGCAGCTCTAGACCCCTCATCAAGGGAAAGGAGGCACTAAGAAGCAAGGAGCTAATGAAACTCAAATAGCAAGGCCTAGGGAGTGCCTCCAGGGAGACTCACTCCCGCACTCACTAGCAGACATGCAACCCCTCCCCAGGCTGGTTTCTGTGCTGTGCATAATCCACCCAACTTCAGAACTGAGCAAGTCCTGAGTTTCATCCTTGTCCCATGCTTTGGTTTCCTTGTCTGTCAAAAGGTGGTTATGATCATATTTGCTTTAGAGGATTGCTTTAAGAATATATGCAAAAAGACACTGGGAGAAACAATAAGTGGGACCTCCTGAAACTGAGATGCTTCTGTAAAGCAAAGGACACAGTTAACAAGACAAAATGGCAGCCTACAGAATGGGAAAAGATCTTCACCAACCCCACAACAGACAGAGGGCTAATCTCCAAAATATACAAAGAACTCAAGAAATTGGTCACAAAAGAACAAATAATTCAATTTTAAAAATGAGGTACAGATCTAAACAGAGGACTCTCAACAGAGAAATGACTAAAAGACACTTAAGAAAATGCTCAACATCCTTAGTCTGGTGCATTTATACAATGGAGTACTACACAGCAGAAAAAATTACAACATCTTGAAATTTGCAGGCAAATGGATGGATCTAGAAAACATCATATTGAGTCAGGTAACCCAGACACAGAAAGACCCTTATCACATGTACCCACTCATAAGTGGCTTTTAGACATAAAACAAAAAAAACCAGCCAACAATTCACAATCCTAGAGAACCTAGATAACAAAGAGAGACATACATGGATCTACATGGGAAGTAGAAAAAGACAAGATCTCCTGACTAAACTAGGAGCATGGGGACCTTGGGAGAGGGTTAAAGGGGGGGGGGAGGAAGGAAGGGGAGCAGAGAAAAATGTAGAGCTCAATAAGATCAATAGAAGGAAGAATGTGTGCAAAGGCCTGGTTTGGGAAGTGGCAGTGCAAGAATGTTTTCCACATGCGAGTTCAAATTTGCTCTACGAGGGAAACCCATGCCCCATTATCCACATGTTCACACAACAAATATTCACGTTTAGCTGGACACTGGGGACATGGTACTGTACAAGGAAGACAGAATGTCTGCCCTGTAGAACTCACATTCTAGTGGAGGAATTGGACAGGAAGTACATTAGATGATGACAAATGAGGATCAGAGCAACGGTACAGATGAGGTGATGAGACATGGGCTCAGTATGTTAGGGGGCCCGGAGAAGAAGCTAATTTAGCACACAGAACAGGAAACAGTATCCCAGGGAGTAGAAAGGCAATGCAAAGAAAAGCTCTAGTAGCAAAAGGAGCATGGAGAATAGAAGGTTCTGGAAAGGAAAGACATCAGCAGCATGATGGAGAGCATCATGGGAGATGAAATCAGACACTGTAAAAATGACACGTGAGATTAGAAGTCCAATAAGAAGCTTGGGTCTAGTTTGGTCAGAATAAAGATGGTGCCAAGCCAGAGAGTATCATGGTGGAAATTTTCAAATAATAGATCTAGCTCCAGAAAAGGAGCAAGAGTGGGCACAAGGAGATGAGTTGGAGGCTTCTGCAGGCACCTGTGGTCACATACTTCCGGGTCATTCATCCAGCCAAAGGTTTGCCCATAAAAGAAAATGTGCCAGCCTCTGGATGCTAGAGAAACTACAAAACATAGAAAAGATGGTTAAGTCATCTTGAACATATCCAACAAGTACCAGTTATTTCTACACCCTATAGGATAAGGTTCAGCAGGATAGTATCAGCCAAATATTTTATTTGTAGCTCAGTAATGACATCTGGGATGCTCTCTGACTGTGGCAACAGGAATTTTGCACTTCATCTCCTGATTTGTCCCAAAGTAAATTCCAGATGCATTAAAGGTTATTGAAAAATGAGAAAATATAGTTGTGAGCCAACAAGGTAGCTCAGCAGACAAAGATGCCCTCTGCCAAACCTGATATTGGAGTTCATTTTCCAGGACCCACATGGTAGAAAGAGAGAACAGTCTCCCGACAGCTGTCCCCTGGCCTCCACACACATGTTGTGGAATGCATAGGCACGTGTACATACATACACTAACAATATTTTTGAATTAAATATGGTTAAGTCATGACAATTGTTGCTTGTGAGCCATCAGGTCACAGTCACGTTAAATATCTGAAAGTGTAACACTGAAAAACAGCAAGATAGATTAATATATGCAAGAGGTATCTGCGATAGGAAGAATCTTTCTGAAAACTAGTGTGTTGGTACTAATGTGTTTATGCTTCAGTCTTTACTCCGTGTTTACACGTCAACATTACCATTTCATTTAATTTCAGAATAACTTCTAATGAAGAAAATGTCTTTCAGAGTCCAGATGCAGTTAAGTGCATTACATATAGACACAGGGCATAGGAGGCAATTTTTTACCCATGGTGCTGATGATACCAATTACAAGCACCAGGAAGTGTATTTTAGCCATTGCTTTGTATGTGGACTTTCAAGATTAAAGTCAGAGTCTATGCAGAACATAGACTTTAAAGGAACACCTTTAGCATATTAAGAAGAGTGAAAGACCATAGGCTTGGCTCCCTGCAGAGGAAAAATGGAACAGACTCATGTAAAATAAAATAGCACTCGTTACATATCCTTGGCATGTAACTCATGAAATAGACATATGCAAAATAAATGCAAATCATTCCTGTATTAATTTATAGTAATGAGAAAAGACAACCACCCCCAGAGTCTGCTGCTCCTTGTGTGCCCATCAAAGAGCCCCCAACAACAACGGGTTGGCCTACAAACCTTGTTCTGGAATTCCTTCGAAACCAGCCTGTAATGCCGGATTATGATGCTGTATGGCTCTGAGTTTTTGGAGATAAAGAGCAACATGTGATTCGAGATGCTGAGTTCATAAATCAGATCCTTATTCTGAAATGGCAAGGAAAGCATGTCACTCAAAGTGCACACAAGGGGCCCATAGGCCTCCCAGGACCGCTTTGCCCACTGACCTCAGGGTTGAATTCAATCACAGAGCCTGTAAGCTGCTGTTTCACGACCTGATTGAGATAGTCTTTGTTGGTGTTGTCATTAATGAGCTCTTGGCGCTTCACAACTTTTCCCTTGAGCCGAAGGAAAAGCATGTTAGAGGGCAGTGGCTTTCATAATACACACACCTCATTGCTATTTGACTTTTGACTTTGTGATTGGTTTATTCTGCCGGACTTTAGATATGTAGACAGTACACATTTAACAGAAATTTAATAGGGTTTCTCCACATTTTTTAGAGGGACTACTCAAATTCCTTGTATAGGAAACAAACTTGGGTCTGGAGAGATGGTTCTGTGGCTGCTCTTCCAAAGGATCTGGGTTCAATTCCCAGCACCCATATGGTAACTCACAACCTATAACTCTACTTCCAGGAGAAACAATACCTTCTTCTGGCCTCCAAGATGCTCAGATACATGTAGGCAAAGCACTCACTTACGTAAAATAAAATTAAAACAACAAAACAAAGCAAACTATCCTATATCATCATATGGAAACAAGACTTCATCATCTACAGCTTCGAATCAGGGTCATATGGAACTTAATTTAATGTAAGATCTGCTGCCTGACTACAGTTTAAGTGTTTTCCCTACCTGGTTATTCTCAACATCCTATTTTTAATAACACTATTTTCTCTTTTGGTTTCAGGTATTAGAGTTCAATATATATTTGGATCTCTTCCTGACTCCATGTTGTCTCATTCAAAGGACAGATTGTTTCTATTCTCCATCTTAAAACCTTCTCAATGAGTTATATGGGCCCAAGAGAAAAAAATGAGAGGCTGAGTGTCCCCTCTGAAAGTCGTGTAGATCTGAGTATCACTCCACATATCAAGTGTGGCCTCAGATAAGGAGCAAACCTCATCTGTAAGTAAAACAGCTATTGTACAGATGTTACTCTGTGTGGGGAGACAGGAAGACATGACTAGAAGGCCTACATGTGAATATTAGGATTGGCCATGAGGGAGGTTTGGAGAAATGGGAGATATTAGAAACCCAGAGTTTCTGGCTTCTTCCACTAAATGAGGGGATGGTGGCACTCTTTGCTATGACTCTTCAAGTCTTTTGTGGGGGGGGGGGTTGAGGCAGGGTTTCTCTGTGTAATAGCCCTAACTGTCCTGGGACTCACTCTGCAGACCAGGCTGGGGTCGAACTCACAGAGATCTGCTGCCTCTGCCTCCCAAGTGCTGGCATTAAAGACCATCATGCCTGGAGACTCTCCAAGTCATAAGAGAAATTGGAGAAGAGATTATGACTTTGACATGAACCATGATGGACTGTCTGGTTCTACATATCAAAATCTGTAGTTAATTGAATACTAGATGGAGACAGAGGTTTTTTTTTTTCTGATACAGGTGTTTTATTCCTTGAAATGAAGAAGCAGTGAGAACAAGAAGAAGGAGGAGAAAAAAGAGGAGAAGGAGAAGAAAAAGAAGGAGGAAGAGGAGGAAGGGTGATCTCCACAAAGCTTTCAGTTTATATAGGCATACAAACAATCCCATAGGTGGTAACAACAGTATCAAGCATGAATTTTCACAGAGACAAGACAGAGATTTATAAGCCATGGGTATATATGGTAATTATTGATAGAGATGGATGGAAAAACATAAACCAGAAAAATAAAGTCCGTGGGATTGAGTCTTGATATGACAGATACCGGCAAAGGCAGAGAAGCAGTTAAGGCAGTGGGGGTCCAGGAAACAGATTTCTCACAAGTCAACTAGTCCAGGAACACTTAGTTCACAGGTAATGGATCCAGAGCCTGTCCCCAAATGTCATCACTTAGTGTGAGGTGAAAGGCCCCCGTGGTCATACAGGATAAAGACCTACCTTTTTGAACACTAAGACGCTGTCAAGGATCACATGGAAACGCCCAATGGCATTTTTGATTTCTATCATTCCAAATGTCAGCTCTGGAAAGTCCTTGATCATGTCATAAAACAATTCCGCCACTTCTTCCTCTAAATCCTGTTTGGAAGAGCATGGTATGTATTTCTCTGGAGGAGGTACCAGTGCCTGTCTTGAGGGGAAGGTGGAAATGATAGGCTCTCTGTGCCTTTGTTTTTCTAAATTCTGGATTTTTGCTGGGTGCTCTAAATCCTCCTTCATGGATGTTTCCCACCTAGAATGTTCCTCTAGCTAGGACGGAACCCCACAAGGCAAATCCTCAGAGATCAATGGCATGAACTAGGCATTTTTACTTTTCTGTATTATGAAAACAAAGGTTGTTCTAACCCATAAATTGAGAATATTTCTAAAATTAATTCCAGAATCACTTTCAGAAGTCACTGATTTGACTGCACGCAAACCAAATGTGAGCTGGTGGTGAGATGCAGGGGCACTTTTGGCCTTTGAGACTCAACATTCAGCATGGAAGAACATTTGGGCCAAAAACGCACTTGAGGGAGCAGAAAGGAAAGAACCATGTGCTCTCTTCACATATTAATATGATAGCAAAGATTGACGTTATTGAGAGAGGAGGCTTTGTCTACCTAAAGTAAATCAGTTATAGCACATGAAAAACTCATTTTCTACAAGCAAACATACTTGGTAACATTTATAACTATAAAGAATGAAATCAATAGGAAGTGATCATAAGTCATTTTGTAATCACATTTAAATTATTTATGAGCTAGCCCAGGTATCTCCCCATACTTGATCTGGATGAAGACTGACCCTTCGATGGGAGCATACTACAATGTTGATAGTTTAGTTTCTATGGAGGCTTGGAAAGAATTTATGGATAAGAAACTGGCTTAAGCAGACACAAACACCTTTTAGAATCATAGTTGAAATAGTTCTTGAACCAGAAAACAAAGATGGCCTCTTATCCTCTGGTATTCCAAATAGATACCCCAAAGGTCAGTTATAGCATTGAAACCAACTAAATATTGATGACAATCTCTTATCTTCCCACCTTCTAACCAACTGCTAACATTTCAACTTCCATGTTTTCTTTCTGTGAAACCAGGAGCTCCCCCAGGACACCAGCTCAGTGGATAAGAAACTTGAACAAGGACCTACACAAGTCAGGAACCCTCCTCACCCCAAACCCTCCATGCATAGCGCTCACCAGGTGAAAGTCACCTCCCACCTCTTCACCCTAGTACCTGGAAGAAGCCTACGATGACCAAGGGCCTGGATTTCACAAAATCTGCCACTTCCTCACTGTTGTTGAACAAACGGGCTCTGTGGAGAAATTGTCTTCTCAACCAAACAACCAAAGCTGTAGATTCAACCACGTCTGAAGAGAGATGTTTAAAGGAATTCCATCAGAACATTTCTGAATTCAGTGAGCAGAAGTATCTTGTCTTGAATCCCATGCTTGGCAGTATCTCCATTTTCTTTTCCTCCCAAACTCTAAGACAAGACTGTATTAAGGATTGTTTTAAGAGCAGCTAAATGTCACTAAGCTCCTGCCATGGCTGTGCCCCTGTACTGAATATTGTGCTTATATTTGCCCTTAACAGCAACTCTAATGAACATGCTCACTTCTTCCCTTTGAAACAAGGTTCAGCTTGCCTACAGCCGGTTCACCAGCCCACCTGGGAATCTAACCTTAGAGGAAGCATTCCCACCCTTCTCTAAGATGATAGGATAAGAACTGGTTTTCTTAACATGTAAGTCAAAAAGTCACATATTTCTGTAACTTTGGGGTTCTTCCTCTGGTACTTAACGTGGGTCTTCCCACATCAGTTAACACAATGAACCCACAGGTGTTCCCAGAGACCCATCTGCCCCGTGATTCTAGACTGCTCCAGATGGCAGCATGAACCATCCCAACTCCTAAGATAGCGGTTCTCAACCTTCCTAATGCAGTGACCCCTTTAGTACAGTTCCTCATTCTATGGGGACCCCAACCATAAACTTATTTTCATTGCTACTTTGTAACTGTAATTCTGCTAATGTTAAGAATCATAATGTAAATATCTGATAGGCAACCCCTGTGAAAAGGTTGTTCCGACCCCCAAAGGGGTCCCGAGCCACAGGTTGAGAACCACTATCCTAAGCGCATTAAATCTGTAGGGTAAAAACAGGCAGAGGCCAATGTACGTGCAATGACTTTTAACAAAACAAACATGTGCATGTAACTGCTACCCAGATGAAGAAGTGGGGTGTGGTCCTTCAAACTCTTAGTATGTAGAAGAAGGCAGTCACAGAAGTAAACAGGAATGATGTGTGCACCGCTGAAGCCTCGCACCCACACCTAGGGGTAGCCATGTTCTTAGCCTCTAACTATGTACCGTTCAGCTGTTCCTAACTCCCTACAGCTGGGACCCTAGGGTACATTTACCTGGGGCTCAGGGACTGACTTCTGTCAGTCTTGTGGGCCAGGAGCAGCGTGTCTGGGCACAGAGGATGTCATGTTCAGCTTTGGTAGATGCGGTTACAATTGAAGCGAGAGGTGATGCTGCATGCCTCTAACCCTAACCCTCAGGATGAAAGCAGGAGGGGTCTGAGGCCCAGGCCAGTCTAGACTACACAGTGAACTCCATCTCAAACAAGACAAAACAAAGCGCAAAAAAAGAGAAAGAATCCAGAGAGCCTCCAAGTGAGCTTAACCCCAGGTCATCAGACTCATGGCTGCAGCCTCAACTTTCCCCTGCCCCAGCCATTTCCTCATTCACCTCTTCCCTGCCCCCAGTCATTACCTGCCTTCCCACCCTCTTCAGCCCCCTCTGCCCTGCCATTGTCTATGACTTCTTCTGTTCTTCTGTAGGTCTATCATTTTCTGAAACCGCTGCTATGATTAGGAGTAAACTTGTTTATTGTGAGATACCAGGCACATACTTGGTGCTCAAGAAATCTTTTTAGGATGAGGGATTGAAGGCAGTGGACCACCAGGAAAGTCAGCTTGAGAAAAGTTGCTCTGCTCCCAGGCTTCCTCTTCTAGGGTACACGGCCTCTGATTGCCCCTCTGGACCCTGTGGAGCTTAGGTAGTTTTGAACTTGACTAAGATCTTATTCCCAAGTGCCTACAGCTTAGGCACTGCCCTTGCCAGCAGGCATTGTGCCTCCCCTGGCTCTTGACTCTGTGCCAGAGGACACGGTGACAACTCAGGTGTGAATGCTGTGTCAATGATTGACCGGGCCAGAATTTGGCTGCATGTTTCCAGACGCAAGCTGTGGCTGCATCACTAATAGGGGCCCCAGAGGCCATCTGAGTCTCCTTCCTCCAGGGCAGGAGACATGGCCAAGTCTGCCGCCCGCCATCAATCCGCGGACATTGGAGAACAGGACTGGGCTGTGACCCAGCAAGGACTAAGTTCCACCTGTGCCCTGAGCAGGGCTTCATCACAGTCACATTGCAGGGGGCATGCCGAGCAGCATGTCCTCTTGGAACTCCAAAGAGCCCTGCCAAGCAGGCCTTGTTCATTCTGTCTAGAGTAAACAAATGCAAGCCAAGGTCTACAGCTCTGCTGAAGTACTCAGAGCCAGAGTGCTTCCTAATCCTGGAGACCAGAGTCCTGGACTCCATCCTGGCACCCCATTATCTTTCTGGGCTTGGGAAGTAACGTTGAAGAAGAGGGAGATGAGGAGCTCAGAAGTATATGTGTCCTCTTGTGCCTGCCTTCCTGCAGTGCGCTCTGGTAATTGCATCCTGTTCAAACTTAACAACTAAGAACATAACTGTTCCAAGCGCTGGACTAGGCTTAAACAAATAACAGTTAATAATAAACACTTCTACTTGTTTCATATACAGCATGATGTAGATCAGAGCTCAACAAACTATGGACCAAATCTGCCCCACTGTTTGCTTTAATAAATAAAACTTTATTGGAATACAGTCCTATCTGTTCACATAGTGCATAGCACAGTGCATAGCTGTAATGGGTTGTTCTTCCTCCTAAGGCTAAAATTCCTATTATACAGCCCTTTCCAGGAAAATCTTCCCTGACTTTACTGCTCCCTACCTCGAGTATTGTCTTTGGGTTTTTTTTTTAAGTTCAATATTTCAGTTTATGTATTTATGTGTGATGATGTACAGGTACCAGGGAGCATGCATGAAGGTCAGAGGACAGTTTGTTGGAGTCCAGTGTGTGAATTCTGGGGATAAAGCTCAGGTCACCAAGTTTGGCAGCAAGCACCTTTACCGGCTGAGCCGTTTTGCCAGCCCCAGCTAGGGTGCTGCACAGAAGTCGTTCCACTTTCCTGTGCTCCATCTGTAACATAATCGCCATGCCAGGCTGATGTGAGGCATAGGCAGCACCTGGAAGCCAGTGCCTGCTGCAGGGATCTGTCGGGTCCTGTGCCTTGCACACACTGCTTTATTTTCTTGCAGCCAGGGGCGGTAGAGTTTTCCAGTTCCCTGTTTGCAGATGGGGAAACTGAGGCTGCACAAGAGGGATGGATGCTTCTGAGGCAGGAAGTGGGGCTTTGAATGCAGAGACCGGAACCCAAGGACAGACCAGCCCCTGCCCTTGCGGTGCCCCGAGAAGACAATAAACAGCAGATAGCATTCTGTGAGTCTTGATGGCAATACGCAGATACTGTGCGAACACAGCTGAGGGAGCAGGCTGCACGCTCTAAGCAGTCAGGCAGACTCCCTTGGAGAGGGGATGGGAAGCCCCCTGCAGGGCAGAGGAGGTCACAGCCACTAGCTGCCCCCAAGACTCGGACGTCCTGGAGTATCTTCTCTGCCAACCTCACATAGGGTGTAAGAAGCTGTTACACAATAGTCTTGTCGACTCTTGATAGAATCGGATCTCAGCTGTCCTTCAAGGAAGGGCGAGCCAGTACCTGAGCCACGCCATAAACAATGTTGGCTTGTGCAAAGTAACCCAGGCCTGCTTCTTCACAGTCCTGAAGCCAGCACATCGTCCAGGGCCCCTGGCTTGGGTTAGATGGGTCCCTGTAGTTGAAGATCACTCCTCAGAATTCCCAGCCATCAGATCCCCGTCTCTCTTTCATCAGGTCTCCCCAGTGGCTCGTGCACGCTACCCTCCATTTGGACTATTGGGCACTGAAGCCCCCGTCTGCTCTGTGCTATGAAGTTCTCCCTGGGAAGCGCTTGCCCAGTGTCTCTCCCACGCCCTCTTGTGAGTATCCAGTGCAATGTACTTTCATTTCTTGCTCAGGGAGTCTCTTTCTAACCCTTTGGCTCCTGCAACAACAGTCCATCGGGTTTGTTCGAAGCTAAAACCCCGACCTGCTCTCTGACTCCTGGGACTGGATCCTTTGTTGGCTCATCTAGTTCCTGGGCTTTTTGTGTGCTCATATGCTTACTGCTTAGAAGACGGCTTCAGAAATGCCAGAGCCTGGGAAAGGCAGTGCCTGTTTCCTGATTCCGCCATTCCACACATACACCATGGCACCGTTCTATTGGCACAGTAGAGGATGGGCTAGGGTCTTTTGTTACATTTATTTATGAAGTAACTATCAAGGACGTGCGCCACAGCTTGCTTGTGCAGACCAGAGAACAACTCTCAGGCATAGATTGTCTGTCCCCTTCAACCTGGGTCATAAGGATTAAATCAAATTCAGTATTGGCGGCAAATGCCTTCACCCATTGAGCCATCTCAGCTTTCCCCCTCCCCCCGCTGGGTTCCTTTGGGTTTCACCAGTTTTGTAACATCCAGCAGTGAGCCCACCCACCCATCTGTCCATCCATATCCATCTGTTCCATATCTGCTTACACTTGAAAACTAGAATCAGTCATGTCACACACTAAGGTACGTAATTCTACAGACAGCTTCAATACCATGGTAATAGACACCCCACCTCGGCCTTTTGCTCCATCACCCCCAGCCCTCTTGGTTGTTTCTGCATATGTATGTGCATGTGTGCATGTGTGCATGTAGAGCCCCAGAGATCATAGGGTGTTATGCAAGGCATCATCTTTTTTTTTTTTCCCCAAATGGGTCCTCGCACTGGCCTAGAACTTCCCAAATAAGCTAACCTCAGCCACCTGCCTATTTTCACTTCCCCGGCTCTGGGGTTGCAAGAAGGCACCACCAAGCCTGGCATTTTCCCCAGGAGTTCTGGGGGACCAAAACAGGTCTTTTGCAAGCACTTTGCTGTCCAAGTTATGTCCCCAGCCCCTTGCAACCTCTCGTTTAGCCCAGCAGTGCTTCCCTGTCAAAACCTCTACAGCAGAAGAGTGGAGATAGAAAGAACCTCATGTCCCTCCTTAGCTGAGAAGTGGAGGTAGAAGCAGCCGAATGATGGCCAAGTCCCATTTTCCTTCTAGACACAGAGCTGAGCTATGTTTCTCAGTCCTCTGGCATTTGTGTGGGGTCCCGGGTCAGAATTCCAGCCAGAAGATGGCAAACAGGAGTGATTTTGCACTCTCCGGCATGCGTGCTACTTGTGGTGAGCTCCTGCATCTGGGGACTGGGGAAAGAGCAGGTGGCTCCAGGGATAAGCAAGATGGAGCCAACGCTGGAAGGAGCCTGGGTCACTGAGAGGCCATGTGGATAGGAGCCTCCCACATCCAGCCTTGAACTGCCAAGCAGGCTTTTCCCACGAGCATGAAATCAACCCTGACCACTATTACCTTTGCAGCTGGTGGGGCTGGACCTGTTGCCCTCAACAAACAGCTTCAACTCCGGGGCCTGCTTGATGTCAAACTCCTCCTTAAGCTCCAGCTGCACAGTGATGTCCACTTTGCCAAAGCCCAAGCCGTTCTTGCCCTTGCCGAAGATTTCTGCGGCTCGGCCTAGCTCCTCGGCCAGCTTCCTGGACTGTTTCGAGGATGGATCGTCTGAAAGAATCAGTGTGAAGAGAGACTACAGAATCCCTCTTCCTTCTCCCTTTCTGGTCTTTGTCTTGGGAGCCCCAGAATTTCCTCGTGTTCACAGCTGAAGAGTGGGTTTCAGAAATTTGACAGGAGATGAGACAAAGGGGTCGTAAAATGGAAGAATTTGGGAGATTATCGGGATCAAATGGAATTAATTCAGCAGTCAGTTACAGGGGATTACAGGCACCGAGTCTATTGGTTATGATTATTATTTTATAGATGACAGATCTGAGGAACAACAAAACCACATACTTGCTCAAGGCCCTGATAACAAGATATACTCGAGCTGGCTGAAAACTTTTGTATTTTTTTAACTTTCACTAGGCATATAAAAACACTTAGATCGATACCTGGAACATAATAAGGACAGAATGCATTTTAATTGCTATTGTTATTAATGGTATAAAAATTTCTTTGGTTAGCAATTAAGGCCGAGCGATGTGACTCACTTGCGCCATCTGGTGGAATATTTTGGAACTAAGCAGTTACTGCACCCCTCCTGCTGTGGCTGGGAAAGGTAGGTGAGGTGTGAGGAGCAGGTGGGTAGGGTACGCTGGAGGCTCACTCCCCTCTCTGACCCCACCACCCTGAGAAGCGGTAGCTAAAAAGACCCCGGTACTCTGTTAAAGGGTGTGCTATTCTGGGATTCTTAGTTGTTGACACAGCTGGGTATGGAGGTGAAGTAGGTAGGGTCTTTTTTTTTACTGAAAACAGCCTCAGAGAACGGAGCTTGGCCAGAGGGATGGGTTATACTTGCTGGAGTGGGAAGAGATGAAATGGCAACTTCTGATGACATTGCTAGGCTGAAGGTCCTTGCAGCCACATGTCTGAGACCAGTAGGCTGTCAGGACTGGGGGAGACAGATTCGCTTTCAAGCCAGAACCTTGCCCATCTGGAGCACTTGAAGAGAGTGCAGGTCACCTCCTGGCTGTGGGTAAGGCCACATCTGACAGATATATGTTTTGTAAAGCACAGCCAGGGAAGCTGGGCCCCAGGACAGCTGGCACTGGCTCAGGAGCCAGTCACTGGCTCAGCAATGGAATCTGGCTGGGAGTGATCATCCAGGAAAGACTTTCTGCCTCCCTCACAGGTCGATGCTTCTCCTGTCTGCTCCATCACCACCCTCAGCACACCCCTCCACCAGTGCAGCAGCTCTGGACTCTTCGCTGGTCAGTTTGCTCTGTGGCTTCTCCATGCTTCCCTGAGGACTTGGCCATACCGGGTCCATGGTTGCTGAGTTTATGAATGCATATGTTCAGACAAGAGAAGCATTGGAATCGTTGTCAGTGGTGGGGCATGTGGAGACTCCATATACATCCCAGAGTTCTGGGGGGGTCTGACGCAGAGGTAAGGAGACTGTGTTGTCATGGCCATAGGAGGTAAGGGAGACTGTGTTGCCATGGCCATAGGAGGTAAGGGAGACTGTGTTGCCACAGCCATAGGAGGTAAGGGAGACTGTGTTATCATGGCCATAGGAGGTAAGGGAGACTGCGTTATCATGGCCATAGGAGGTAAGGAAGACTGTGTTGCCACAACAGAGACCTCTCATGCGTCTATTGCATCTCATCGCCCGGCCTTCACCATAGCACTTTTAGCCACACAACACGCCCCATACTTCACTTCTGGATCTGCTTAGCACTTGTCTCTCCTCTCTTGCCTGTAAGTTCCAGGAAGGTGATGTAGTTTAGCACTCATTCCTGAGGGCCGAGAATACATCAGGCATACTAAGCCCTCAATACTTATGAGTAAGTAAGTTCATCTTCTGGAGATCAAGGTAGGGGTGCAGAATGGATTGAGCAGCAGTTTGGGTGGAAGACTTGGTCTTAAATTCAGTGGTGTGACTCTAGGGGGATTATCTAACCTTTTTGAGACTTGTCTGATGGAAAAGACTGGACCCGTGGTACTGAGTTTGATATCTGCAATGCAGGTGTTTGATAAATGTCCATTAAAATCATCACTTCCATAGCTAAGACCATGACCACTGTCATCACCAACACCTCATCATGGCAGTCAGTATCCCCATCAACATCTCCATCACGACGACCATCATGATCTACATCATCCTCAATATTCCCATCATCATACTCTCTATCATCATTATCATCCTCTCCATCGACATCACTATCTCTAGGATTACCTCTATTCTGCATTGGTTACTCTTTTTCTGCTATACCAAAGCACTCTGACCAAAAGCAACTTGAGAGAAAAACAATTTATTTGCCTTGCACTTCTGGGTCATAATCCATCACTGAGGGAAGTCAGAGCAGGAACTCAAACAGGAACCAAGTCAAAAACCATGGAGAAATGTTGCTTACCACGGACTACCTGCCCAAGGAATGGCAATACATTCCACAGTAGTTTGAGCGCTCCTGTATAGTTAATATAATACCTCCTAGACATGCCCACAGAAAACATTACCTAAGGAATATCTCAGCTGAGGCTTCTCCTTTCAGATGACTCAAGGCTTAGTTAATTTGGTAATCAAGGCTCTCCTGGACAATTATCACCATTGCCATTAGTATATCAATCATCATCACCAGGCAAGGGGAAGGTTTGTGCCCTGACCCCGTGGAGCACACGAGTTCAGAAATGCTGTTGAGATGATCTGACAAGGGCCTCATGAAGGAAGGCTAGGGAGACCTGGAAAAATTCCTACCCATTCTAAACAGGTATGAAAGAAGTGTCCACACAAGAAGCTTAACCCTCCCAGGCCAAGTGCAAAAGTGAAGGATGGATGCTACAGGGCAAAGGGCGTGACGAAAGGCCTAGAGACTTGAGCCAGAATACTGACAACTAGAGCTGCGTTCTAGAAACCAGGCTCTCTGAGGGCTTGGCAGAGAGCACATTGGAAGGTTCCTGGAATCCACGGAGGAGCCTACCTCGGGGCTCAGGTGGGAAATGGTGAGAATGGAGCAGAGGCAGCGACACAGGGTGTGGAGAGAGCTGGGGACCACAGAGTATGAGATGCAGAACCCAGGGCAAATTTGGGGATGACCTTGAGGTCTCTAACTGTGGAATGGAGTGTTTGATGGCATCATCAGTGCTCACAGGACGTTAGAAGAAACAGATGGCCAGAACCAAATCCCAAATACTAAGGTTTGCTTTAGACTCAGACCTGAGAAAGGAAGGTCCCACTGAGCATCAACCGTAATTCTGGAGTCATCAAAAGACTGGCCAATGATTTGAGAGTCACTGAGAGGCCCCTGACAACTTTCCTATACAAAAAAAAAAAAATTTACTTTTGAGGGAAATGTTTATAATCCTTCCCCAAAATGGTTTTCCCAAAGGCCACTTTAGGAGGCCTACCAGATTTCAAAAACTCATTTAGAATTCAATTGCGTATTGACAGAATCGATGATGGGAACATAATGAGTTTTATTTCGAGCCTCTTTTAGACAACGAAATCTCGGCTGGCGTCAAGGGAGGTGTTCAGATACTTCGACTTGTTCGTATTGGTTGCTATCGGAGTAATTAAAAATGTAAAAGCAGGAGCTAAGGGCATGGGTCAGAGGTCGAGGGTTAAAGGAGAGAGATGAACTTGGTCCCCCACTGTGATAAAATCAGCCAAGAGAGCGGAGCTTTGCATTCTTATGAGGACAGCCCTTTCCCTGGCTGTGAGTGCTAACATTATTTTTGTGTCTTCCTATGCATTGGCTATCATGTAGGACTCCTGCCATCCCCCAGATCCATGAGACAGGTATCGCCTTCATTGTCAGAGCCGGATATACTCACGGAAAATCACCATTAGGAAGCGCGTCTCATTCAGTGTCTGTATCAGGCCTGCAGGAGTCAGCACCATTAAGCTTTGGTCCTCCAAGATGTGCACAGGTCGGGAAATGTTAACGCCAGCTTCTGTCCCTGGCGAGCCAAGGACCTCAGAGAGGCAAACAACCACCAGCAGCAGCGGCGTCCAGAGAAGTTCCATAACTGGCCTGCGGGGGGCAGAAGAGGAAACAGAGCTCTTTTCAGACCTAAACCTTCCTTATGCCTGTGGGGAATACGGAAGGAACAGGGCTCACAGCACTCTGCAATGTACACAGCGTAGTAGCGGCCCTACAGCAAAAGACAAGGTTGTTTGGCCAACCTCCACCACTGGGCACTGACTGCAGAAGAGAAGCTAGAAGAGCTCCCATTCCTAAGGCCTGGAATCAAACAGCCCATTGGAGCCCACTGTTTTCCCAGCCACGTGATGGGAACTTTGCAGAGATGAGCCCCGTTCCAGAATCCCAAAGTGAGCCTCTGACTGGTCCCCTCTCACACCCTCCTTGATTGATACTGAACCCGCTGCCTGTTCCTCCAACTCTGCCCATCCCACTGCCTTGTAATATACACTGCATTTGGTCTTTGAAATGTTCTCAAGAGAACATACTGGACCACATAGTGAGTTCCAAGCCAGCCTGAGCTACACGGTACAATACTATCCCAAACAGGCAAACAGCAACAACAGCACAAATTGTCAAGTAAATAAAGATCTATCCCATGATCCCTCTGTGGAGAAAACTGGTCATTGGTAATGAATTCCCATTATGTTGAAATGTTGAAAATACCTATATGCATTATTTCAAAACAAACACAGATTATATTCTTGAGTTCCCAGTGCTCTTTTCTATTTTATTAAATTTTCATTTTTTTATATACTACCACCGCATCTCCTTCCTCCTCTCCTCCTGTTCCTTCCCTTCATCTCCCTTCTACTACCCCTGCCCCTTCTCTTCCGTCTCTGTGCAGAAAGCGCAGGCCTCCCATGGAAGTCAACAAAGCATGGCATATCAAGCTGAAACGCAACCAAGCTCCTCCTGCATCACGGCTGAGCCAGTATGGGGATTAGGTTCCCAAAAGTCAGCTCAAGTGCCAAGGACAGGTACTGATCCCACTGCTAGGAGCCCCACAAACAGACCAAGCTACACAAATGTCACACACATGCAGAGGGCCTAGATGGATCCCATTCAGGCTCCCTAGCTATTGGTCCAGAGTCTGGGAGCTCCCATGAGCTCGGGGCAGCTGTCTCTGTGGGTTCCCCTGTCATGACCTTGATCCCCTTAGCTGGTACCCCCTCTCTTCGACAGAACTCCAGGAGTTCAGCCAAGTGCTTAGCTGTGGATCTCTGCATCTGCTTTCATCAGTTATGGGATGAAGGCTCTCTGATGACAATTAGAGTAGTCACCAGTCTGACTACAGGAGAAGGCTAGTTCAGACACCCTCTCCACTCTTGCAAGGAGTTTCAGCTGGGGTCGTCCCTGTGGATTCTTGGGAGTTTCCTGGCACCCTAATCCCAAACCCTAACCACAAAATATTCCCCATTTAAGATGTATCTTTCATTACTCTCCGCCTCCATCCCACCAACCTGCTCAACCCAATCCCTCATGTTACCACCTTCCTAACACACTCCCCCGTATTGTCTGCTCCCAGTTTACCCAGGTGACCCAGGTGATCTCTTCTATTTCCACTCTCCAGGGATATCCACATGTCCCTCTTTGGGTCTTCCTTGTTACCTAGCCTCTCTGGGTTTGTGAACTGTAGCCTGGTTTTCCTTTACATTACAGCTAATATCCACTTATGAGTGAGTACATGCCATGTTTGTCCTTCTGGGTCTGAGTTATCTCACTCAGGATGAATTTTGTCTGGTTCCATCCATTTGCCTACAAATTTCATGATGTCATTGGTTTGTTTCCTTTTGTTTTTGTGGGTTTTTTTTTTGCTTTGTTTTGTTTTTTACTGCTGACCATATTTTTTTAAATCCATTCTTCAGTTCAGGGGCATCTGGGTTTGTTTCCAGATTCTGATTGTTATGAATAACTAACACTGCTATGAACACAGCTGAGCCAGTGTCCTTGTGGTATGATTGAGCATCCTTTGGGTTTATGCCCAGGACTGGTATCGCTGGGTCTTGAGGCAGATTGATTTCCAACTTTTTGAAAAGCTATCATGTCAATTTCCAAACTGACAGTATAAGTTTGCACTCCCACCAGCAGTGGAGGAGTGTTCCCCTTACTCCACAGTGTCTCCAACATAAGCTGTCATTAGTATTTTTGATCTTAGCCAGGGGTAAGATATCTCAGAGTCATTTGATTTGCATTTCCCTGGTAGTTATGGATGTTTAGCAATTCTTTAAGTCTATCTTGGCCATTTGAGATTTTTCTATTGAGAATTCTCTGTTTAGATCTGTACCCCCATTTTTAATTGAATTATTTGATATTTTAATGTCTAGTTTCTTGAGTTCTTTATATATTTTGGAAACTAGCCTTCTGTCAGATGTGGGGTTGGCAAAGATCTTTTCCTATTCTAGAGGCTGCTGTTTTGTTTTATTGACAGTGAGCTTTGCCTTACAGAAGCTTATCAGTTTCAGGAGGTCCCATTTATAAATTGTTGATCTCAGTGTCTGTGCTGATATTGTTTGTATATGTATTGTGTGCATACATAGTATGTACACATATTCCTGTGAATGTGTGGGTGTGTGCAAGCTACCATTTGTATGTGAAGGTCAGAGAGGCAATCTCAGATGTCATTCTTCACATTCTACCTTACTGAAGGCAAGCACTCTGTGTCTGCTTCCAGAGCCCCAGGTCTACAACATGGAGAACAGACCCTACTAGCTGGTAAGACAAACTCACTATCTTAGTGTCCTATTGTTTTGAAGAGGCACCACGACCATGGCAACTCTTATAAAAGAATTTAATTGGGACTGGCTTACAGGTTCAGAGGGTTAGCCCATTATCATCATGGTGGAGAGCATGTTGGAGTGCAGGCAAGCAGGGTGTTGGAGAAGTATTTGAGAGTTCTACATCTTGATTCACAGGCAGCAAGAAGACTCTGGGACTGGCTTGGACTTCTGAAATCTCAAATTCTGCCTCTCCAGTGACACATTTCCTCTAACAAGGCCACACTACCTAATCCTTTCAAATAGTTCCACTCCTTAATGACTAAGCATTTAAATATGAGTCTATGGGAGCCATTCTTATTCAACCCCCACATTCCAATTCCTGGCTCCCCAATAGAGTTGTAGCTATATCATAATGTAAATACATTCAGTCCAACTTCAAAAGTCTCCATGGTTGATAGGAGTCTCAACACTGTTTAAAGGTCCAAAGTTCAAAGTCTCATTTGAGACTCATGGCAATTTCTTAACTGTAACCTCCTGTAAAATCAAAATTAAAAAAAAAAAAGCAGATCATACACTTCCAACAAAAAAATGGCATAAAATATATAAAACCATTCCAATAGGTGGGAAAAAAAATAAAGTGAGGAAATACTGAGCTAAATAAAACCAAAAACCAGTTGGGAAAATTTCCAATTCTGCATCTCCATGTATGATATCAAAGAGCTCTTCAGATCTCCAACTCCTTTCAGCTTTGTTGACTGCAACACACTGCTCTCTCTTGTGCTGGTTCCACACCCTGTTAGCAGCTCTTCATGGGAGGTATAAAACAACTCTGGCATTTCCAGCATCTTGGGATATCTAACACAATCCAGGCTTCACCTTCACAGTTTCACACAACAGCCTCTCTAAGTTTCCATGTAGAGACACCCCTAACACATGCCTGGGTCAGTGGCTTTCCTTAGTCTCAGAGGGAGGTTCCACAGCTCCTTGACTTTACAGATAAAACCATGTGGCCAGAGCTGTCAAATTCTGCTACTTAATGGGACTGGAACTTAGCCCACTCATTCAAACATTTTCATCAGCTTTCTGTTTTCTATGGTTTCCTTCATTGCTTAAGTTTTTCTGCAATTCCTTTTCACAACTTGGAAGCTTAGATGATTGGGATCCTGCCCTGGAATCACCACTCCCTTTATTCCATTTCTTTATCTGTTTATCTCCTTAAACACAGGACTCCTCTTCATCACACTACCTGCTGTTCCCTTCCTCCTCAAACTGCACATTTTGTATTTTTTCTTGCCCAGCTTGCTCTTTTTCATTATAGATCTGCAAAAGATTGACCACTAATAACCATGTAACACAGTTAATACTAAACTGTCTTGAAATCTCCTCTGCCAGTGCCATTGATCCAAAACTCTTCAATTTAGCTTCAGGAAGATTTTTTGGACAAGGGCAAAAAGCAACCACATTCTTCACCAAAATATCACAAAAACAGACTTTATTTAGACCACTTACAAATATTCTTCCCCTCTGAAACTTCCTGAATTGAGCCCCTATATTCAAGATCACCTTCAGAAACACTCTCTTCCATGCTCCTACTAGGATGGCCCATTTAGATCCACTTAAAGTATTCAATTGATTTCCTAATCTAAAGTCCTGAAGCTGACATTCAGCCCATGAGCAGCATGGTTAGGCCTGTCACAATACCCCTGTCCCTGGTACCAACTTCTATTTTAGTTGGGGTTTCTATTACTGTGAAGAAACACTATGGCCACTGTAACTCTTAGAAAGGAAAACATTTAATAGGGCCTTGCTTACAGTTTTAGAGGCTTAGTCCATTATCATCATGGCAGAGAGCTTGACAGCATGCAGGCAGACCTGGTACTAGAGAAGTTGAGAGTTCTACACTAGGATCCACAGCCAGCAGGAAGAGAGAGAGCCACTGGACCTGGCTTAGGCTTTTGAAATCTCAAAGACCTTTCTCAGTGACACACTTCCTCCATCAAGTCCACATTGCCTAATCCCTTCAAATAGCGCCACTCCCTGGTGACCAAGCATTCAAATCTATGAGCCTGTATGGGCCATTCTTATTAAAACCACCACATTCACCTTTATCAGCTGTCACCATGTTAACCTTGCTGTCTCATTAATTCATTCACTGTCTTACTTAGGCTTCTATAGCTGTTAAGAGACATGACCTTGCCAACTCTTATAAAGGAAAACATTTAATTGGGGCTGGTTTATAGTTTAGAGATTTAATCCATTGTCATCATGGTGGGAAGTATGGTAGTATAGAGGCAGACAAGGTGCTGGAGAGGGGGCTGAGAGTT